TTACATTTAGACACAAAATGACGTTCAAATTGATTTAGCTAAGTGGATCATATTCTACCTGTTTTGGTCAAACAGCAGCAGTTTATTAACCCTATTTAAAAATACTACGGAAAATTGTTCAAAGCAAAAAGTTTACATTCCGTTCTGATAGAAGAGCGAAGGGAACGACGCAGTGAAAACAACATTCTGAGAATCGATTTGCTTCTAATGTTGCATATATTTTGCTCGGGAAATCTCTCGGAGTGCGATTATAATTGCATCTTAATTTATATTTGCACTGAAATTTGATTCAAAGATCACAATCTGGAGACGCGTCCATTCTTGACAGAACCTTACACAATGAGATTGAAACACTCACGAAAAGCTCCAAATATATCCGAACCACACTGTGCTGCTGCTGTAGCATAGGCCTCCATTGTAGTTTTGAAGAGTTCGGGACGAAAGACCGTGGCATGTGGTCCTGCGTCAGGACGATGAACTAAATACCACAGTAGTACGATTTCAAAAAGATTATAGATCGTAAACTGACTTATAGAAGGAAATCCAGGTACTTGTGGCATTTGTCGAAGAGCAGCACTGAAGATCGCTTCCGGATCAACATTATTTCCCACAAGACGTTGCAAGATCGACCTTCCTATCGAAGCATTTGACTGTGATCTCATGGCTGCAGATTGTTGCCCATATCCTGGACCCATGACTTCATTCACTGGCACCTTGCCTGTTCGCACTTTTGCGCGACCTTCGCGACCCTCAAATCAGGAAGTCATCTTTATTAACATGAGGTTGAAAATGGCTGACTTTCTTCTGTAACTCCTCCAATAAGGAATTTCCATTTGGACTTGCTGCACTCGTTGGAGATGTTGACTGCGCGCTATTCAGAATATTCTGAAAAAAGAACGCGTTAACGGAAGGACAGATAGCTGTAATTTTGTAGTCATGAACTCTCCGTCCGCAGACAAAATACTGAATCGTAGAGTCTTTGTGTCCTTCCACCAAAGGCAGTGGACGGGCAGAATGGACC